CTTAGAGTGAGAAAGCCAAATGAAGGACAAGGAGACCAGCATGAAGGCTGCACAGGGTCACAGGCAAGACAAAGAGGAGAACAATGCTCTTTGATAAGTTCGGCTTACTGTCTAGGTTAATGGAAAGCTAGATTATCTGAAAGGTATGTGAATGGCAGAGCCTTGCTGCACTGAGTAAGTGACAGTCCAGGTGCAGGAAAGGCAGCGTGGCACAAAGCATGCAGTTAACTTTTTATTTAAATGTGTGTGCGTGTGTCTGTCTGTCTGTCTGTCTGTGCATCTGTGTGGGTACTGACAGAGGCCGTCAGAGTGTCAGATCCTTGGAGCTGGTGTTACAAGCATTTGTGAACTGCTCAAGTTGGGTGCTTGGGAACATATTGAACAGAAAGTGTTCTTAACCGCTGAGCCATCTCTCCAGCCCTGCAGCTAGCTTTTTAAATGATCATTTAAAAACTCTCTGAGGAATAAAATTTCCAAGAATCTGGCTTAGTTTAATTTGTGGTTATGACATTTAATAAGAATACAAGTATTATATTATTTATTATTGCAAATTAGAATTATACCTACTAACTGAACTCAATAACATTAAATTAAAACAAGACATTTTATTTAGAAAGTCTTTGTGGGTAAGGAAAGTCAATACTTCCCTTTTTCTATGATGGTACTTTCTCTACAGGGATCAGAGGTACAATATACAAAGGGCATGTATTATTTTTAGTGAGCAGACCAGTATTAGGGTACATATGTTTGGGACTATAAAAATACAGTTTCCTGATCATTGCTTAGTTTTATATAGGTTAAGAAGCATGCAACATGCACTTCCAAATCCCATCGTTCTGTTGTGCCCCAAACAGAGCTTGGAACAAGACAGATACTCAGTAAAAATATTTTGAGGAGAGAGAAATACATCTGTAGCTCTGAGTCTTGGAACTAGTCTCTGGGGATAATTTTCTCTTCTGCCATTCAAGATCTGGGATGAATATTTTTGTTCCCTAGATCCAAGGAAAGTTAAATCTTCTCTAGCCTGGCCCTAAGTATATTATGTAAGGTCACAGAATTATTTTTTTTTCAAAATGTAAGACTGTTGTATTGTTTAGTTGATTTCAAATACAGAAATATATGGCTTATTGTAAAAAAGCAGACAATACCGAAAGCAAAAGGAAGTGACCACTAACCCCCCCAAGAAACCCCGACTCCTGTGACAGGAGGAAGACAGGGGTAGCACTACAGGAAGAGGGACTTGTCCAAGGTCTCATGAGACCTTTGTCTTCAGATCAGAATCATGATTTCAGATAGCCCTTGATTCCTAGTTTGACCATCTGTTTCTTGGACACACCCTGCATTTTCCTATTAAAGTTGGCTGGACCATATAGCCTAACTTTCACTACTCCTATAAATGATCAAATTTTACCAAATCCTGAAGAGTGAACATGGATTTACCAAATCCCAGAACATAGGAACTAGAAGATTCATCTTGAAACATGGAAAGGTAAACAGCACAAACATAAAGAAATACAAGCAGTAAACAGAATGTCAGTTAAACAAGATTAGGACACACACAGACACACACACACACACACACACACACACAATTTAGGTTATTAATTAAGCTTTAGTGCATGCACTCTTTTCAAGACTGACATTAAAAGAAAATAAACCCTATAACCACAGTAATAGTACTTTGAAAAGAATGAATCAAGTAGCTGTGTGGTCAGGTTTTAGGTAAAGTTCTGAGAATGAGAAAATTTGGCTCATTCACTCTCAATCACAATATGGCTCGAACCACTGTGAGCTATTAGCTCATTCTTACCACTGATTCCCTAACTTACTGTTGCTGTAGAAAGCAAATGAACTGAAGAAATCTCTCTGATATAACGCTTACTCTCTGACCCCTTCCTCTGAGTGTTTCTAGCCCCAGCTCTGGTAGGCCACCCCTGCCTTCTTCAGATCTGTTTTCTGAACCCACTATACTCCTGTTTCCTAGCATACTATGAGATACAAACAGGCAGAAACCATGTTCCTTATAACCATTATTTCTCCCATCTCTAGTTCATGCACTGTGACTTGGTAAGTGCTAAGCAGGTATTTGTTGGGTGAGGATATTTTGTAGACTGTCAGGAGAACCCAAAGCCGACTTGTATTGCATGAGGCAGAGTACAGAGGGTGCCTCATGGGGCGTGGACACTAGAAGCCTCTGAGAATTTCAGGCTTCATTCTCTCCCTGGTTCTCCTTCATCCTCCTGCTATTTTGTCTCCTTTGATGGTTTCCATTACTTCTTCATGAGCTCTTACTTTTTTCATGTTGGCTTTTTGTGGGGGAGGTATCACTTCAGCCTTTGCAACCACTACCACAATAGAAGGTGCCCAATTTACTTTCCTTATAGGAATTTATTTCTCTTCTTTTCTGAACAAAAAATTGAAGTTTTCTGTCTCTAAGCACTTGGAGGAACTCTCCATGTGGATGTAGTTTCTAGCTGAAATTCAACACTATGCCCATGACCACCAAGAATGGGGCCCTTCTCATCTTCCCCATAGTAGACAAAGCAGAGACCTTCCTTCGAGCACCTCAGACATACAGTTGTTGGAATTTGAGTTTTCCCCTCCTTTGAAAGCTTTGCTAGTTGTCACGTGTTATTTGTTCACTTCCAGCCACTGCCCTGATTCAGGCTTTCACAGCTGTATGTTTAATGCCAGCTCTGCCAGTCCCATTTTCTTCATGTTCCAGTCCACCTAACTTTTCTAACATACTTTCTTTACATACAACTCCCGTGTTAAGGATCTCCTCATAAACACTGAAATGTGCAAGACCTTTTTCTAACCTTTCAACAGGCTCCTTATAGCAGATTCTTTTCCCCTCCACCGAATTTTTGCTGGTGTCATTCTCTCCCCTAAACAGCCCCCTACTCCGTTTTACAATCAATAAACTTCTTTCTTACAATAATTTTAGGTTCACAGCAGAGTTAAATGGAAAGTACAGAGTTTCCCATGTTCTCTTTGTCCCCGACATGCATAGCCTCTGCCATTATCAACACCCCACGCCATGGTGTTGCATTTGTTGAATGTAAGATGAACCAACATTCACATATGATTGTCAAATTTCCTCATATGCATTACAGTTTAAGTATAACTACACATATTTACCATTACAGTATCATATAGACAGTTGAGCTATCCTAAAATTCCTGCATTCTGCCTATTCATCCCCCCCTGGCAACTGACTGGTCTTTTTGCTATTTATTTAGTTTTATAGGTCTAAAAATTTTTATTTATTTACTATCATTTTAAAATTTTCATAAAGGAACATATTCCTCTTGCCCCATCTTCCCCCTTTTCTTGTCTGTCCCATCTCCCATTTTATGCAGCCACCTTTTTATTCAACACCATCCTACCTTTTCCATGGTTTTCCAGGCCCCCAAAGCTTTTTTTGTGACAAGTTTCATCTCGGGACGATGTCTGTCTTTACTTCTCTTGGTAGTGATATTTAGTTCCATCTACACTATTGTTGTTTGCTACTTAACTAGCAATGGTTAAGAACAGTTGTCAGTAATGATAATAACTGGGGCTGGAGAGATGGCTCAGTGGTTAAGAGCACTGGCTGCTCTTGAGAGGACCTGGGCTCAACTCCTAGCACCCACATGGTGGCTAACAACCATCTGTAACTCCAGTTTCAGGGGATCTGACACCCTCTTCTGACCTCTGCAGGCAGTGCACAACATGGGGGCACTTAGACACATGCAGGCAATCACTCATATGTAAAATAAAAATAATAAAATAATAATAATAACTACCAGTTGTGACTACTATGTGTCATACTAGGCAAGGCCATTTGTGAAGTTCAGTATAGTTCATAACAACCACAGAAGTTGTATAAGAATTATGCTGATTTTATAAGTATGGTTTAGAGAAAAGTCACTTGCTCATGGCCACATGGCTACTAAGTGGCAGAGCTGGGATGTGAGCCTACATTCCCTGAAGGAGAAAGTGCAAAATAAACACTCTACGCAGGTTTCTACCTGGCCTTGCACACTTCATGGAGATGTGCAGAACAAAGACCTGGATGCTTCTGTCACAGGTGCACGTTTTCCGTCTTGTACTGCAGGGCTATGAAATGGTTGTTTGCCCCCAGCTTTGCAACTGTATACTGGGATTATTGGGAGGTAAAGCTGATTTGATTTTAAAGAGCACTATGGGACAGTTTCCTCCTGTGAATCCTCTGCTTTTTCAAAAGAACATCCGATTTAAGCCATATTAAATGCCACTGTCCTTTGAGGCCTGAATGTCTCTCTCTCTCTCTCTCACACACACACACACACACACATTTCTGTCTCAAATTTTACCAATGCTGTGTTTCTCCAACCTTCGTCTAAGGCTCCACCTCAAAGGCCTCATCCACCTTAACACCTTCCAACTACACCCACACCCTCTGCAGTGGCTCAGATAGCTGATTATTAACTTTCCCTAGCAGGCTGGGCTTGAACACTTTTTTATAAGAATAAATATTTGTCACAAGACTTGTCTGGGGCTTTTTCCCTTCACTTTTTTTAAGACTGAAGACTAGTTTGGGATTTTCTGTTATTAATGATTTTTAAACTTTGATCACACATTGCCTTTGCCATTAAAAATTATACAATGTGTAGCACTTGATTAAATGCAATTATTTGACTCCGCCAATTTCTTTCTCAATATTAGTTTATTTTCCTTTTTTTTTTTTTAGGTCTTTTTGAGACAGGGTCTCCCTGTAGCCCCAGCTGTCCTGGAACTATGTAGACCAGGCTGGCCTTGAACTCACAGAGATCTGCCTGCCTCTGCCTCCCGAGTGCTGGGATTAAAGGTGTGCACCACCAACTTTCATCCGGAACATTTCTCATCCATAAGTATTTTTACAAATAGTTGACTGTGCAATGTGGTCACATTTGACCCTTCAGAGGGAACAGCCACTGAGTCTGGGAACCAAAAGTATTAATAATAAAGTGCAAGCATCTGCCGACCTGAATCCTTACCTCTCTGCTTCTAGCCGTATTTCCTCCCTCTTTTGTCTCCTGAGTTCTCTGCGACGTTCAAAATCATCCATAGCGAGGTTTTAGGTTTAGGAAGTCCAGATAACCGTTAGGATCTAAAGGGGAAGAGACAGTGAGGACCATCAGTGAGTCAGACTACTATCCTCATTCATCCCGCATTTGCCTCTCCCACTTCCACCTCCTTCATCTTTTCTTTACTCTTAAGAAAAATACTTCAGGAGACTGCTAAGGCCATCAGTGACCAATTTCTGATCCCTGAGCAGAATTTACTCTTATTCTTAAAACTATTAAATGTAAGCAAGATCCCAGGATCGCATTTTAAAAGAGACTTTGAGAAGAAATATTGACAGACTTAAGAGCTAATAAATAATTTTGCTCTTTGTTACTTGCTGAACCCCAGACAAAAGAGATGCAAAAAATGAACAAAGGAAGAGAAAACATGAAAAAGAAAGAAAAGGCCAAGGAAATAAATATGTAGGAACTAGGCAAAATAAAAGAAAAACAGAATATTATCACAAGCAGGTATTTGCATGTTCTAAATGTATGCGCATCAGGGTGTTAATGAAGGCCGCAGCAGTTATGCTCAGAAGAAATATCTCCAGGAAGCCTGATTTTAAAAAGCAACTGAGCTGTGATCAAACTGTCTTCAGAGCTCAAAACTCCCGGCTTACTCCAGATGCAATTCAACCATTTTACCCTTTCCTACCTCCTCTGTGATGGTTTTGATCCCGGAAAGAATTTCTCTTTCCACCTCTTCAAATGAGGAGCCTGCTTCCCCTGCGTGTCCGTGCCATGGAGTCAAGTATTCCAGAATTCCCCTGCAGCCCCCAAACCCAAAATGACTCCAAGAAAGGAGAAGCAGGCTCCTTAGGTCCTTGCTTTGTTTACAGAGCTGTCAGTGGTTAGTTAAACTCGGCCTGGAATCTGGCATTTAAGGCCTGCTGGAAGATTGTTTCCTGTATGGAGCGGGAGGCCTCCACTTCCTCTGGAATCCTAGGCGCTCTGTTGCATTCAGAGCACGAAAATATTTTCCAGCACTTTCTATATAGATGAGATGAACCACTTGCCCTGCACAAGAAAATCAGGCGAGTGAAAGCCCAGAGCTATCACAGGATGGCATCTTTCTTTGAAATCACGTTCAAAAAGAAACCTGAAGCAAATTTTCATTTTAAAAAATTTCACCCTCCCCCCACTTTTATAGTTTATAAAAACAAAATTAAACCTTAGCAAAAGCCCTAAACTCTACAGTGTTTGAATTATTCCCACTTTTCATATTTTAAGGTATTATTTAAGTTGCTTACACATATTTAGAAGATCAAATTTGGGTTTTTAGTGGAGGCTTAAAAATCTTAATTGTTGCTCTTCCTCACTCTGACATACTCCCCAAGACTTTCCCAAGACTTCTAGCCATGAAGGAAACAATCAAGCTTTCTTTTTGTATTTCATCAGCCATAAACAAATTCTTAGGCCAGATGTGGTGATGCATGCTTATAATCCTAGCACTGGGGAGGCTGAGGCAGGAGGATTGCAAGTTTAAATCTATCTGGGACTACAGAATGAGACCCTGCCTCAAGGGCGGGGGGCTCTCTCCTCCCTTTAACCCCCCCTAAACTCTTCTAGTCTTCTCTCTCCATAATTATTAGAATGAAAAAAGACAAGTAATTTGAAGGCTCTTACAAGGCCATTTAGGAGTTTTCTTCCTGGTTTCTGTTCTAACCATGTGCAAGTGGATGAGGTGCCATAGGAACAGTAGAGCCAGAATATCAGGGACAGAGAGACATTGGACTCTTCTCCTTTCTTCCTTTAATACAGTCTTTTGTTGCATAAAAGTATCACTTGGGGGGGTGGAAAGTTGGCTCAGTGGCTAAGAGCACTGGCTACTCTCGCAGAGGACCTGTGTTCAATTCCCAGCACTGACATGGTGCCTAACAACCATCTGTAACTCCAGTTCCAGGGGAATCTGATGCCCTGTTCTGACCTCCACGGGCACTGCATGACACGGGTGCACTTACACACATGCAGGCAATACATTCATACACATAGATAAAAATAATAAAATATTAAAAAAATAAAAGCATTCCTTAAACAACTACAAGCAGCAGCAAACAGAAATGGAGGAAAGGTCTGTCAGTAATTAAACATGCTAGCTTCTTTATGTATCCAGCAGCTGGGAGAGCATCCTTTTGTCTGGTTGTTGCTCCTGCCCTATCAAAGCTCGGCAGGAGCCTACTACTGGTCACTCCAGTGCTATACCTGTACCTTGGAAGTGTTGGAGAGTGGTGAAGGGATAGCCTGAGCCTTGAGCAGACTAGAAACGCACTGGTTTGCAGGGTGGCAGTTATACGCAAAGGGAAGCAAAGCTGACAGACCCCATGTGGTTACTTTGGCTAAGCATCCTCACTGGCTCTCCCCCATGCAAATTCTTTCTCTGATTTCGTCCTCCTACTCCTCACCTTTTACCACTTATTTGGGTTTTTTTCCCCAACCATAGGAAAATGACTTATCATTTAAGTATAAGTTGATTATATACCAGGGGACACAATGGGAGAAGAGGGGATTGCAAAAGCATGGGTTTCCATGCAATTCTATGGACCAATGCTTTTATGGATTATGTTCTGTGGCTATCTGGGGGTGGAGCTGAGGGAGCAAAAACACATCTGTGCACCGTGTGGTATGATTGGGAGCAACAGCTTACATGTCCGTGTGTGTGTGTGTGTGTGTGTGTGTGTGTGTGTGTGTCTCGTATGACAGAGAGGTACTGTGTTTGTGAAACAGGCTCTTGGCTCATCTCAGAGCTGGATAGGATACCCTTATATCAGGGGGCTTTTCTAACTACTCCTGTGTAAGAGACTCCAGTAAGTGACTTCCCTCCTTCTTTTGGGAGCAACAGCTTACATGTCCCCAGCCAGTAATGCCTCATTTCCTCCCCTTCCCCCACTCCCCTAGTCAGTGTTGAGTTCTTTCCAGCAAAATTGGTTAGGAAATAAACTCACAAGCAACGGAGTGATGAAATGTCCAGACAGAGAGATTCCATCAACCACGAAGCTCTCGGGTATCACAAATTAGACAGATTAACATGAGAGAAAAATGCAGGCTTAAAGGAGGTTTGCATCCATGTATGTGTCTGAAGCGTTCTTAAAGAATTACAGGAAAATCTAAATTTGTATATGTGATTACGGTCATGCTAGTCAACTCACTGTGCTGAGACTCCTTTTGTGAGTAAGTAAGTGAATAAATAAATAACCGTTGTAAAGGCAGGCATAGCCTTATCTAGGTCTATAGTCGTCTTTCCAATATGGTTTCTCATACATTGAATTTTCTTTTAAAAAAGGGCCTGCTCTATAATCAAGGAGTAATTCAGTGTTGTAGATTTCAGATCACCTAACACTCTGCCTGTTCTTTGGGTAAAGATTCTGCAAAGCTTGTGGTCCAGATGTGGCAGGATGTGACAGGAGTCTGCTCCAGCACCTCAGGGTTTCCTGAGCTCCCCCCCTCCTCTTCCTCTCCTCTCTTCCTTCTTGCTGTTGTCCCTTTTCTACTTCTAATGGGGGTGGAGGAACAGCACTTTTTTATGTCTCCTAATATTTCCTTTTCTTTTTGTAGACTTTTTCCCCACTCTCCATCTCCCTCCTAGACTGAATCTAAGTATATCTATAGCTAATAAATCTGATTTGATTCTTTTAATCAAAAAATTGAGCTAAATTTCTGATGAGTATCTTTTAACCAAGAAATCTAATATTCTCTCTGTGTGTACGTATATGTTGTATGTGCATATGTATGTATATATGGAGGCCAGAGGTTGATGTTTGGTGACTTTTTCTATCATTTTCTACCTTATTTTTTGGACAGAGTTCTCACTGAAGATGGAGGTCACCAATTCAGCCAGACTAGCTGGCCAGCAAGCCCCAGGCACTAAGCTATGCCCAGCATCTTAAGTGGGTGCTAGGGATCTGAACTCAGGCCCTCATGCTTGCAAGGCAAGTACTTTACTAACTGAACCATCTTCCCAGCTCCAAGAAATCGATATTATTTTGTTTTATATTCATAAGATTGTTGTTTTCCTCTGTGGGCATGTGGCTTTACTCTGAAGCTCATTTGAAAGAATGAATATGTTTCTGGTTTTGTTTAGGTCAGGGTATGTGGTAAGTAAAAGACTGTCTGAGATGTATGTGTCTGTGTATTTGCACATGCCTGCACACATGTATAAATGTGATCAAGGCAGGGAAAGGTCATGAGTAGGTGGATTTCTAACCTAGCACTTGATTGTTACAGAGTAAGACTTTTGGAGAGAATCAAGTCTTATCTATTTCCAAATAATCTGAAGTCGAATAATGAATGGACTGGTATTGAGGAAGTCCTCAGGATGGGGAGGCACTGCCAATGTTGGTCTTAGAATATATCAAGAATACAACCCGCTGCTTCAGGGACACTGAAGAGGATAATGCAGCCTGTGAAGTAGCACTTATTCAATATTTACTATGTGGTGGGCCATGTTTTATCCTTTAAATGTTTTTGTCAATATATTTTGTTTCTCAGAGCATAAAGCAAATGAACAGAAACTACAAAGTTCCCATGTGCTCACTTTACCTTCCCCCACTCA